TTAGGCCGGGTACTTGATTAAGTTAGCATGCATCGGTTATGCATACAAGGTATAGTTTTCAATAATCGTCGCCGGTAAGAATTGAACTCTGGACCTTGCCACTTGGGGTATGACAACTTGTCCACTTCACTAAGTCGCCACACTCTTTTTTTTTTTTTTTTAACATTATTATCTTATAATTAGAAATAATAAATTGTCAGTATATGTAAGTTAACCAAACACAATGAATGATATAATAATTCTTTTTTTTTTTTAACATTATTATTTTTTACTTAGAAATAATAAATTGTCACTATATGTAAGTTGACCAAACACAACGAATAAAATAATGCTTTTAGTTTTTATAATATATAATGATTAATATCGGCATCCTTTCCAAAGTTTTATATATAAACGATTAAAATTTAAAAAGGTAAAGATATTTTAAAATTTTGAAATTTAAAATTTTAAAAGTTTAATTTTAAAATAGCTTCTAACAACAATACTCTCAACACTCCTACTAATGACACTTCAACCACTTCTACCAACAATACTCATTCCAACAATATATCTACCAACAATCCTCCTTTTAACAATTTTCCTACTAACAATTCTCCTCCTAACACCACTCCTACTATTGCTTCCAATAACACTTCTAATACACCTATCGATACTGCTAACAATAATTCTAACAACAATAATCCTCGCAACAACACATTTTACATCACTTCATATAACAATATTCTACACAACTCTTCTTATTTCAATTCTTACAACACACTTTACAACACATCTTACAACACACTGTACAACATACTGTACAATATACTATATATCCCTTATACCAACCCACCTTATAATAATGCACTTTCAAACTACAACTTATCTTCATATCTGACTGTTGGCATTGACCAAAATCAATATCAATTGAATACTCCTCATTATCAACTATCAAATAATAAATATAATGATGATGATTTCAACAACAGTATTTATAGTATATAGAGCATTTTTTCAAAAATAAGTGGTAAAGATAAAAAATCACAAAAATTTGACTATATGCTAGTTGTATGCCAATCCTCCCAAACTAATGAACATAGATCCAAACATCAATCAGAACATCAATCCGAACGTTGACCTAGTAAACACCATCGCATTCTAGTGAACGAAATAGATCTTTATTACTGCTGCTACGACATTTGCAAGAAAGAAAAAGAAGGTCTAGGTCACAATCCCAAGTGCTACTTAGATCAGAATCCCAAGTGCAATCTAGTTCTGGATCCCGAGCGCAATCTAGATCTGAATCCTAAGCACAATCTAGGTCTTGATCCGAGATCGACAATTACCCAATCAGGAACAACCATGCGATCATAATAGTACAGTAAATAAGTTGTTTTTTTTGATCTTCAGATCTCTAGATTGTCCCTTAGTTGGGTTATTTTTTTATTTTTTTTTAAAACTTTTTTTTTTTTTACAATAATAAACGTAAGAACATGCCAGTTATCAAAAAAAAGTCAACAAGCTGATGTTTAAACAAAATATGCAGCTTTATCTTTTAGTAAAGCAGAATAGCCAAAAACTCAACAAATTGAATAATGAACTTAAGCATTTAAGAAACGAACACAAAAAAGACCTTTCTCCAAAGGTGTTAGACATAAGTACTTCATTTGCATAATATAGTATAGTACTTGGTCTTTTTTTAAGCCGTTATAAAACTTCTATAGGATGTATATACAGGCATTGTCAAACGTATTTTTCCATTGCATATTTACCTCACTCAAAGTATACTAAAGGAAGCTCTCAAGGGCTATTTTAATGAAAACTTTTCTGAGTATATATCAACCTTAGTGAAAATAAGTTCACTAACAATTTTCATGGAAGTTGGTATAGTTAAATATGTAATATCTTTACTTAAATATATATATATTTGTATCTTATTAGTTTTAACCATTTAATTTTAGTTTGTTTTTTGCTAGTTTAAAATTGTTTTATTTGTTTTTTTTTACTTTAATATACTAACTTTCATTTTTTTATTTATTAGCTTTTACAAAAGATCAAAAACTATCATAGAGCTGTGTTGTATTTGGTTGCGAAAAATTGCCACCTCTTAAAAGCACTGCTAGTGCAGCCAAAATAATTTAGTAAAAGGAAAGTTCACAAGTTAACGAATGCTATTATGCTCTTTTTGAACAAAATAATAAAGGAGTATTTTGGGTCTTGATTATTGCAAGATCTGCCTTCAGTACGGTTGCCGTGCCAACTTTGACAAGCCATTACTATGCATTTACATTAGCAGTGTGCAATATCTTGTTAAACCTCTGATCCAAAAATGTTTTATGTAAGGATAAACTTATGAAGTATCATATAAATCAATACTTGGTAAGTATTTGACATGTAGCATTTTATATTAATAAAAAAATTTATTAATATATATTTTATTCTAACAGGTAGATTTTAAAAATGGTGGCCCCAGCTATAGTTTGGCAGAAGCAATCATGACCAATGAACTTGCAGGTCATTCCCAGAATGAACAATCAAGGCAATCCTCATCCAAATCTAAGCCTATGCCTGCAACTGCCTTCCAAAATTTTTCATCAATAATGCTTTCTCAAGATGAGATAGATGAATTATTTGAAGTCAATCAATATTAATTTTTTTATATATTCTTTTTTCTTTAAATTTGTATTATTTTATATTGTAATAAATATATTATATTGCAATTTAATAAAATTGTTTTTATTGCTTAATAAATATATATAATCACTTTAAATCGAATTGATAAATTTGTAAATAAAAATAGTTTCTAATATATTATAGTAGTTTAAACAATAGTTAACAACTTATATTATACACTTAAAGTATATGCTAGTAAATACGCTATATATCAATAAATATTATATTCGATTGTTAATAGCAGGGTAGATGAGTAACAAATAAATACGATATTTGATATAAATCAAATATGCTATATATTGATAATTATCTGAATATCACTACCTATCGAATACACTATATATCAATATATATTCATATCGATGAGTATTGGTAGGGGTAATTAGTATCGATAAATATTTACTTGGTTAGTTATTGATATATAATGGCCTATTTTTTTTGTCAATGTTGAAAGCAAGAGTTGATTTAACAATAACTTTTTTGCTTTGCTATTTATTTAATTCTTTATTTAAGAACTATGTTCAGAATATGCTATAAATATCCAAGCTGCTAAACATGATACTTTGAAAGCCACCATAACCAAAGCTAGAAAATAAGAAACTAGAAGAACTATAGCTACTAATTATAATACAAATAATATCACTAATCAAGCTATTAAACAACTTACTAAACAAATAGTCAAACTGAGTATTAATCTTGCTAATAAACAAAATACTCCTTCTTATACCACTATTTACTATATAGACAATAAAAAAAGTTCTTTATAACAAAATAATAACAATACTAATAGCATTATATACTATTATTATAAGAATAAAGAATATTTTATTAGAGAGTATCAAGTTATAAAAAAAGATGAAAGTAAAAAAATCTTGTGATTACTCTCAATATAGATTCTCTTCTTCAAGAAACTATCAATTTTCTAATAAATCTTAATCTTGAGATAAAAATAGAAACAGAAGTTAAATGGCAGACAACAGCCAACTGTCGACCAAGGGGGTGCCGTCATGGTACAAAATTCTTAGAAAGTTAAGGATCCTGAGAGAGGTAAATTGTTGTTTTGGCAGGTCGCACTGGGCATAGTGCTTGGTGAGTTTTTATTAGACTAGAACATTATACTATAGAAACTTTGTATAAATGTATATTAGTTACATAGTAGTTCAAATAAATAAAAGCAGAACTGCTTAAAAAAAAAAAAAAAAAAAGAAACAGAAGTTAATCATGTAATAGATATAAGAATAAAAGTAGAAAAAAAAATTATTCTTGTAATAGAAGTAGATCCAAAGATAGAAGCCAAGAAAAATAGAAACCTAGACCTAATTGCTTATCTTCACTCTATTATCAAAATATCAATATAGCTGAAAAATCTAATTACAACTTCAATACCTAAGCCTCTAACAATTGGGAACAACTCTTAGACAACTATTCTATTTATACTGCTCTTACTACTTATATCACTGAAATAAATTGAGAAAATACCAAGCCTATTTTAGAATACAATAGCAATATAACTCCTATTAAATGTTTTGTAGATTTACAAGATTATATTTACTTTGTTATTATTGATAGTAGAGCCTATGTTAGTATAATCGCTCACAAAGTTGTAAAAGAACTAGGATCAAAGATTGATAAACCTTCTAAATATCTAATTATTACTGCTACTAGAACTACTTCTTGACTAGTGTTGTTAACTGGAAACTACTGGAAGACAACTGGAACTCCACTGGAAGAAAATTAATAGTACTACTGGAACTTTTACTATTACAAATTTCCACTGGAAGGCTGAGAATTACTACTGAAAGCAAAAATTAACAACACTGTTCTTGACCACTTGGTATTATTAAAATTTTATTTGTCAAGATACAAAGCAAAACTATTTCTATTAATATTAAAGTAGTCTTTGCTATCTTATATTTATTATTTCTAAAAAATAATTAGTTACAAAAAGTCAAAGCAAATTATAACTAAAAAACTTGCTAGTATACTATGTACTAGAAAGAAAAAAAACTCATGTTGGATACCTTATATAAACAAAAACAACCCAAAAAAAAACAGCCTACATGTATTACTACTAAAGACTTTAAACTATACAAATAAGAATATTTAACACCTCATAAGGCCTATGCTTTTTCAACTATAAATTAAGATAAAGAAGTTTGGACTATTTAGTTACTATATTGTAAAAGTATATTAATGTATAAAACATATAGATTGTGAGACTACTAATATAAAAACTATCCTCAAAATAAATATCAATATTGCTATAGAAAAGAGCATATTATTATTAATTGTTCTAATAAACAATCTAGAAAAGCTAATTATAGAAACTATAATCAAACTGATCACTTAATTAAGGATTATTTTCAAAAATTTAAATAAAGATTAAGTATTATACCAAATCTATATATAATGCCAAACACTAATATAACCTAAACCAAAGTAGAAATTACAGACTAGCTCAAGCTTTATTAGAAAATGAAACTAGTCAGATTACAAAAATATTAATAGAACAAGATAGTAATCTTTATAACTGAGATTAAACCTCAAATAAAATTACTATTTTTCTTAGAACAAGCTAGAAACAAGTAGCTTTAACTGAAAATAAAAAAACTACTACAAAGAATTTTACAAAAATCTTTTAATATATCCCAACTTAATTTTGATGCTCACAAAGCTATAGAAAACCTATATAAAAATCTTGAAGGCAAAGTAGTTCTCTGTTTGAAATGTTTATTTACTAAACAGAGTGCAAAGTTAGATCTGAACCAAAAACTTTGTAATAAGTATTATCAGGAACTAAATACATCTCTTAAAGAAACAGAGCCAAGACTATCTATATCTATAATATTAATAGTATTAGAAAAAGAATCAAAACCATCAACAAACAAAGAAAATGAGAAAAAAAAAGTAAAATTAAAAACTCAACAAGAAATTATTGAATGCTTAGAAGTATATATTCAATATCTAGAGAAAATGAATAAACAAATAACTAACTTCTTTAAAAAACAAATCCTATATTATTAAGAATGAGCTAAATACTACTTTAAGTTAAGTTTATGACAAAATTTTTAGACTATTCTAAGCATAATGAAAAACTATCTAAAGACTCAGAAGAATTATCAACAGAAAAACAAGCTTTGTAGCTAGCTTTGCAAAGAAATACAATAAAATATAATTTTGTATATATCATAGATATTTTTTTTTTTTTTTTTAATATTTAAGGTGAGATTTTGCTCTTATCTTTATTAAACTTAATGAAAACATTTTACATGATTGAAAAAGGTTTTATATTTTAAGTCTAGTGCTAAAAATAAGAACTCAGACATCTAAATCTAATAAAATAAGTCTAGATATTTATCTGCAGCCTAAACCTACCAGAGTGGCCAAAGCTCACCTAAATTTGAGTTAGATTAAAAATGTGTGAAGGGTGTGTTCGATATTTAATCCAGTTGGAGTACCAATATGTTATTTTTGAGAAAGATGTGCTAACACTAGTGTTGGAGGTGTCAGATATGGGGTGTGTACTAATAGAAGGGTTAGGTAGTGCAGGTCATTGGCATAGGGTAGATTGGGGTTGAGGTCTTGAACTACAATAAGTGATCCAGATATTGGAGTAGAGATGTTTGTTAATGTGAAGAAGAAGTTGTATACAGATTGTGCTAGCTATTTGATTTGAAGTGGTAAAGTCACATATTGTGTATATAATATCAAAGAGGACCAAGCCCGAGATTGTAGAGAGTATAGAAGGCTTTTCAGTAGAATTGTATATTAACAGGCTGTCAAGGTTTATGATTTTGGTATATAAAAGATTAACTTGGGATTGAGATACTTGGAGTTTATTAATATTGAGAGTATGTTGTAAAGAGTTTTGAATAATTGTGTAGAGTTGATTAGGAGATAGACACAGAGCCCAATGTAGTGGGATACTTATTTGTTGGCATATATGACAAGTGTTTGAGTAGAGGAGGTTTCTTTTGTGTAATATATGAGGTGCAGGAAGTTCATCAGTAAGAAGTTTAATTCTAAATGTTTTAAGGGTGGAAGACTGAAAACTGTGTGCAAAGTTAGAGACTTTTTGGTTATTATTGAGGTAAAGCCAGGTTGTGTTCCAATTTATATGCTAAAAGATTTGAATACAGGGCTGAAAACGGTTTTGTGATGACCAAAGGGCAAAGATCTTTGCATGATATATAGTTCAAATACTATGACATACTGGGAGTTCAAGAAGAGAGTTTTCTAAATAGAGAGTATATTGAGGATTGTAGGCATTGTAGAGATTGAATATGAGAAGTGGTGTATTAAGATGATTGCGAGCTAGTTCATCAGCTTTATTGTTGAGTGTATTGTTTTGGTGTGCTTTAACCTTGTGAAAAGTAATTTGAAGGTTGTAGGATTTAATAAGATTGAGAAGAGTATTCCATAAGGGCCAGTAGGGTATATTTAAAAAGTTGGGGCTATTCATTTGTTGGGTTAAGTTATCATATTTAGATATAACAGATTAGAAGTCTGTAAAGATTTGGATATTACAATTTCTAGGTGCAGTACATATAGCAGACAAGATAGCAAGTAGCTTTATCTTGAAAGAGCATGGCCATAGTAAGATTTGTGTTTGAAAAGTATGGAGAATATTGTTGTTATCAACTGGTAACCAACCAATTCCCATAGAGCATTAGAGGTTTTTAGATTGAATAACTGATCCATCTGTATAAAATATAAGATTAGTAGATAATTAGTTATTGTGAGCAATTTGTTGAAGAGTATCAAATACATCATTGATATAAAAGAGAGGAGGGATTTGTGAGGTATGTATAATAAGATTGGGAGGTCTTGGGACAGAGGTAACTTTAAGTTGTTTGATTGAATAAATAAGGTCAAGGAGGTTTGCATTAAAGTTAATTGATTTATCTAGGTTGAATCTGCCTAGAAACTTAGTAGCCTAACTGGCAGGGATAAGGATAGTATATTTATTGTTAATGAG